AATACATGCAAACAAAGTAAGTATAGTATGGATATGTATGTTTCAACTAATTTTTACTTTTTACTTTTGAATGCGCTGGAAAACGGCTGCACTTCCTTACTAGCTCTTAAACAGTTGTTGTTTTGTGCTTCAGAATATTCATATTTCTTGCTTTTTTCTACCTGAGATGTTGCTGCAGTACAGTGTTTATGATGTTACACTGGTCCAGACCAGAGCAGAGAGGATTCATGGTCTGAACCAAGAGGATCAGGTAAAATGGTGGAGGAATGCTAACTTTTTTGAAAAATGCTAATGACGCATTTAGTATTTTACTTTGGACTAGAGCAGAGAAAATGGTCCAAACCAAGAGGCTACTCCACCTTGTGACCTGTCCTGCTCCACCCAGAGGCTACTCCATCTTTGCTGCTGTGACCTGAAGCCCTGTGGCTGATTAATACTATTTTAAGGTTTTCAGAAGGATCAATTTTATTTTTGCTGCTACTGGACACCTGAATTTCTCCTATGGGGATTAATAAAGTATCTATCTATCTATCTATCTAATTTCAGAATGTGCAATATGAAACCTAACGTATTTTTCACTTATCTGTGCTATAATAATTAGAATAATGTATATCAGGGGTGCCCAAACTATTTAGTAAGGGCCGAAGACAAGGATTATAAAACAATTCTACCTGATTCGAGCTGTTCTGGGGTCCATATTGGTTCACACCACAGCTACATTAGTACGAAATATTTAATTTAAACTGTCAGTACAAATGAACGTTAGGATTCTAAAGGTTCTGAGCGTTAAAACAAGGTACAGCATGACTGTGTTGGTGGAACTGAAGCTGGCTGGATGACACTGTCAAAGTACCTCAAAGACTAGTTTATGTTAGTATCAGAGGGCCACAGAAAATGACACAACGAGCTGCAATTTGGTCCCCGGGCCTTAGTTTGGACACACCTGATGTATGAGTGTCCACTATCACTTTACTTAGTCACTTTCTCCCAGACCCTCATGCTGCCAACATGAAAAGATACAGTATATACTGTACATACAACTATGTTTCATGCTCTATTATTTACTTACTTTTTTATTATGCTAAAGTCAGAGATTTTATACTTTATTCTTGCTTCTCATTATAAAGTTGAAGATTTTAGACTTGTTTCTTGATTACGCTAAAGCTAGAGATTTTATTTTAGTTTAAAATAAAGTTAATGTTCACTTATAGTGTGCCGTGTGCTCCTCATTGCTACTGTTCTGTAACCGCTGATGCAACACTGACATTTAGGATCTCTTAATCTTAATAAAGTGCCTTTCACAGTCACAGTCACAAAGTGCTTCACTCCACACAGTGATGGGAGCGACATCATCTACAGGAGGCGCATTTTTCTCTGAGTGTGATGTCATAATGGTACAATGACATCACACCATTACAGGATTGAGACAGGAGTTTTTAGACAGAAGGGGCGGAGCTACATGGTGTGCCAATAGTTCCTGATATTAGCGAAAGATGGAAAAAAAAACTCCAGGTATGTCTTTGATAAGGGAACAACATTGCCACATGGTCAAAAAAAACTTCTATAATACTTATTCAAACAACCCTAAGTCTATTTGCAATCCCGTTTGAGATAGGATTTCTCCCTCAGACTGATTTGGCTCGAGTCAGACGTCCAGTTGGTCTGTGTTTTTGTAGTTCCAGGGAGAGCGAGCTGTCAGTGCCTCAGCGGAGCAGGCCATGTCCTCGAGAGTGCACTGAACACCTGTCACTGGAGGAAACCAGGAGATGGACAATTCATCCGAGGGAAAAATGGCAAATCCAGATGCGTGCAGCGCTAATGCATTGTCTACACGTGGTTGAGAAAAGGCCAGGCTGTCTGCTCCTACTCGCTCAGTGCTGTAATAAAATCACATGCGACTGGAAAGCAGGTGGAGGAGACTCTTTTAAAGGAGAATCATCAACTTTAGACCATTTTAAATAGTGTTTTATTCTGGTTGCCCTGTAGTGGTGTTGAGGGATGGGTCAGATGCAGAGGATAGAGACAATTAAGAATACCTTAAGGTGACATAACGCAATTTTTTTCTTCTATAATAACCTATGTGGCTCATTATTGTATGTTTAGTACATATAAATCCAAATATTGAGCTAAAACGCTGTTATAAAAGTGTCGAGCTGTATGCCTCCTCATTCTCTCCTTGTCCAAAAATCATCGGTGCAGAAAAAAAAATACAAAAAAAAGTAACTAAAATCCAGGAGGAAGGGCTTGGTGTCTCTCGCCTGCTGCACTGGGACCATACCGACCCACACAGCTGACCCAGTGTCCACGTTATGCAGACAAAAACATAAGAGCCCTTGGTCCATTGGGAGCAGGATGACCACTGTCCATAAATGTCCCGAATCATCACTGTACCAATATCATGTGGACAGATCACCACTGACCCTCCTGCATCAACAAGGAACAATACAAATATTTAGGACTCTTTACTTTTTGTGAAAAAGTAAAGAGGCCTATTGTAGTGAATGCATAGAGGAACGAACTCCATGTTTGGTCAAGTGAAATCTAAAACGTTTTAAGGCCTTATTCGAAGGGACAAGGAAGGAGCGGTTTTTGAATTTGGATGCAACCACAGACTACCAATCTAAGCCTCAATATACATAGTTCCCACAGACCAATGAATGTCACATGACCTCCTCGGAGACGCCATCTTTGATGGCACGCTGCTGTGTTTGTGCATTCCATTAAACAGAAGAATGAGAATAAATGTAGATATTCAAACGCAAATTGGAAAAAAAGGGCAACTTTTGAGCAAATAATTGTATATTAATACAATGGCACCACAGTTTAACGTGCTACGGACATGTTTTACATATTTGATCAAATTATGCAGCAAAAATTAACAAGCAATGCAAACATTTCTCAAAAACTTTAGATTTAATACCAGTTGGAGCTCCATTTAATTATTTTAATTATATTAACAATTAATTTAATTAATGCTAATGCCACACGGACACTCTGGATTGCTGTTATTGTTTATTTCCGCGTTTTTGACCGTATGTTTTGGTGAATGGTGGGCAACTGATTTTTCCAGGCGTAAAGAGCAGTTTATTTTATGACACAGATCTTTTTACAGAAGCAATGCTGTTTGTGAACATTGTTTTAGCCCACCATAGAATTATTATCTATTTAATACATTTACGTTGCCCTCGAGAGCCTCGGACGCGACACCGATCCTCCTCATAATAAAGTAATCTAACGCTAAATAATGAAACTCTCAAGTTACCAGCTATCAGCATACACAAGTTAGTACTGAGTAAATTACGTCTGTCAACACATTATAAGATACGATACGCACCTGACACAAAGTGCTCCGAGCATATTCTTGCGTGTTTTGAGGGAGTTTCTTGCCTGTTTATCTTCGCAAGCCATAACCTCCGTGGTTGTTCTGACAAAAGCTTAGTCTTCTCACATTCATGAAGTCTAATGATGGGTATACTGTAAAATCCAAGTTTAACGGAACCTCCGGCACGATTTGAACATCCATTGACCCAGCAGGAGATGACCATTTTCAACTTTATCACGACATTAACACGTTTCAGCTTCTTTTTCTATTGTTTTGCCCACAGAATGCCAACACAAATGGCGCCGGGTCGGCAAATCCCTGTATGTAGTGACGTCATGTGGGAACTATGTATAAACAACTCCAGTAAACCACCACCGTAGACCATTCTGCAGCGGTTTTAACTCACAATCAGCCTCAGGGGAAAAGTGTGATCCAGCCCATAACTGCCTGTATCTGCCTCCTCATCCGTCTGAACACCTGTAATCTCTGCATAAATAAAACTATTCTTACAATAAAAGTAACATTTGGGTTGTGGAAGTGCGGTTTGATGACTTGGCTGGGCTCCGGTTCAAACACTCACTCTTATAATTAGATATATTTTAAAGTCCATTCAAGTGGTATGAGCTGGTTATGGGGCTGGGATGATGAAAACAAACAGTGGTTTCTAAGCAGTAGGTCTGTGTGGTAAGAATAAACAGGTGCGAGCGGAGTCTCAGGTCTCCACTTGTCTGGTCTCTTCCATTGTGAAGGCGTCCGGATACCTGTCTATACATCGCTCTTACTACCAAAGCTGAAATTAATGCTAAAAAACCCACATTATAGCTGTGTTACACATTTTTTCAAACCACAACTAAATTAAAGGAACTACTGTATTTCCTAGCTCTAAAACAGTTGGCTTCTATCTCGTGTTGTTTTTCTGTGTTTTTCTCCTATATGTCACATCTTCACATCAGCTTTTTCAGTAAGGAAAGTGAAAAGGAGCTAATCAGCTATCCCCCTAAAGCATTAAACAGTGACTTCCAGGGTTCCTTCTTACCAAAATTCAAAATATCATAAACTAACATGAATATTCACAGTAAATGAAAAAGAGTGATTTTATCTGGATACGTCTGAAACAGTGCCTCCCTATGTTGAGTCCTGACTCAGGGCATCAGCAGGAGGCTAGTCCCTGTGCTCCTCAGAGTCCCAGCAGGACAGAGTCCTCAGAGTCTGAGTTGGTTCATTTGGCATTAACATGTCACAGATGTCCTCCACAAATAAAGCCATGGAGGGACTTGTAACAAGCAGAGCTGATTTAAAGTCTATTCTCGGAGCCACAGGAGCCAGTGCAGAGACCTGAGGACTGGACTAATGTGATGGTACTTCCTGGTTGTAGCAAATTCCTTTCTAGTATTTCACAAGAAAGGCCAAAACTAAAACTATAAGGCTCTAATAAAAAACCTAATGACATCACAGTCACGCTGACTGCAGAACCTCTCTGTCTTTGTGTGCATGGATTTTTTTGGTTTGATATTTTTATTATGTAAATCTATCATCTGTCATTATGTCAATAAATCTGTGGAATGACAACTAAATCCCAAATGCAGCCTTTACTGGTGTTAGTCATGATAACACTAGAAAAGGCTCTCAATGCTTTTCAGACAATACAAAAAAATAGAAGAGGTTCCACGTGACTGACCTCAAAGGGCGTGTCGTAAGAGCCGGTGGCCCCTCCCACCATCATCAGTGCGTCCAGGCCGAGGTCCAGACCGAAATGCAGCCACTCCACAGACTCCAGCTCAGAGCAGTCCACAAACACCTGCAGCTGGCGAGGGGCCACACTGAGGGCCACGCGATGCCACTGCCCGTCAGACAGACCCACCACGGGGAACCTGCAAACATGAAACCACAGGGGACAGAGTCAAAATGATAATGATAATAATAATAATAATACATTGGTTTTATACAGTTCTTTCTTGGACACTCAGATCCACAGTGGTAATAAACTAATAGTGTAGCCACAACTGCCCTAAGGCATACTGACACAAGCTAGGAAACCAGTGTGTGTAATTGGCCCCTCCCACCACCACCAACGATTCACACACACCAGACTCTAGGCATTGTGGGTGAAGTGTCTTGCCTAAGGACACAAAAAAATGTTGCCCCACTGTGGCACCTGGTGTTCTCAGAGGTCTCCCATCACAGTACTAAACAGATTATGCCCTGCTTATTTTCAGAGGTCTGACAGAATCTGGCTTTTACCTGAACCACTGAAGGAAGAAGACAGAACATGCTTTATTTTGGGCCATTCAAATTGAAATGGAGAATTTTTCCTCTATTATTCTATGTTGTCGAATGTGAAATAATGGATGAGGGGAAACTATGAAGCGAGACAAGTATAAAAGGTTAGAAAACGCCGCTAACTCCCTATCCTGCCACCAGAGCAACTTTCCAAAACATTTTACCTTTAAGTTGGGGTAGCTAATTTTTCATGTTGTTTGTGTCTTGTAACGGTCAAACGTTATGAACAAATCAGACCACATCCTGCTGTCTTTTTTTAATTAGAAAACACGTAATATCACAGAAAAAGGCCCTGTGAGTCTCTATTCAAGTCATTTGGCCGAGATCTGATTGGCTGAGTAAGGGTGGTTCTCTCTTTTTCACTTTTCTGTCTGAAAAAGTTGATCTAAAGACGTGACAGAGGCTAAAAATACTTATAAACCACTGATAGAACCTGTTTTAGATTTCATTACATAGTGTTTTAAAAGTAGCTACCAAAGCTTTAAAAGAATCGAAATAAATATAGTTTTAATAATCAGTAAATCTCAAGCAAGACAGTGTAACAGTCTAAATGCAAAATCTTAGTAGTATTTATAGTTTAAATGCAGGTTTTCTATTTAAGTTTGGCTGGTTACTGAGGCCATAAGAACGAGGAGAGCCGCTGCTGCAGATTTGTGAGCCCCCTGTGGATATCACCATGATGTAAAACAACTCTCACATAAAACAGGAATATTATATGGATTTTTTTTTGCTCCCGTAAAAATAATAAACTCTCGAAGCCGGAGGAGGATCATATTATTGCTTCAGACGACTCGATAGGATTTGGGGGCCGAGTGAACGACTGATGCACTGCTGTTTTTTAATATCTCAAAAACAGCCGAGGGACATGTATTAGTCTTACCTCACATAGGGCTTAATGTACTGACCTCCACAGGTTTGTTTGGATATTCTAGCATTGCCTATAATGTTTTATGAGGTTGCCTTTCTGATGTAATGTGGAAGCAAGATCCAGGACTGAAACTGTAGATCCAGTCAATCCAGGACTGGGGCTGTAGATCCAGGACTGAGGCGGTAGGTCCAGGACTGAGGCTGTAGATCCAGGACTGAGGCTGTAGATCTAGGACTGAGACTGTAGATCTAGGACTGGGGCTGTAGATCCAGGACTGGGGCTGTAGATCCAGGACTGAGGCTGTAGATCCTGGACTGAGGCTGTAGATCCAGGACTGAGGCTGTAGATCTAGGACTGAGACTGTAGATCTAGGACTGGGGCTGTAGATCCAGGACTGAGGCGGTAGGTCCAGGACTGAGGCTGTAGATCCAGGACTGAGAATGTAGATCTAGGACTGGGGCTGTAGATCCAGGACTGAGGCTGTAGATCCAGGACTGAGGCTGTAAATCTAGGACTGAGACTGTAGATCTAGTTCACCTTGGAGAGACCCATGAGGAAAACGCATTAGACTTATTAGATTTCAGCATGTTTATTGATTGGGCATGTTTGGCGCCCTAGGCCCGGGCGGGATGCTGTTGAGCACGGCGCTTGCTCGCGTGCATGATCCCCCCGGGGCCTAGGCACTGGTGACGGCAGAGGCAGTAGGCAACACGCTTCATGCGAGAAGGAGGAGGTGGGGCGGCGGCGGTTTGCAGACTTCAGAAGATCGGGAAGTGGGCGTCTCCGGCTTTTAACTTGCTGTCCTGGTGGTTATTGGTTGACTGGGTGTGGGCGTTGCTGGTATTGATGAGTCGAGGAAGAGCAGCCTGTGGCCTGGCAGCAGCAGCCGGGTCTACCACGGTGAACTTTCGCGAAGCTCCATGACTGGGGCTGTAGATCCAGGAACTGAGGCTGTAGATCCAGGACTGAATGTGACTTACAATATGACAAATTCTAAGATTTTGACGTCTCCTGACAAATGATGTCTTTACTACCACATGCCTTCAGTTGAACTACTTCTACCACTTTATGGGACTATTTCTCAGCCTAACCCTCTCTGATTTAATGTCGTCTCATACTTTCTATTCAACAAACCAGTTCCCATTCTAAGACACGATGTCCCTGAGTTTATATTTGCAAGATGGCGTTCGCACTCACTCGTAATGGCGGTCCTGGGAGCCGATGAAGGTGACGGCCGTGGAGCTGATGCGTAGCTGCAGCGTCACATGACCCTCTGGGCTGAGCACGGTCACCACGCTGCGCTCCTCCGTCTGTCTGCTCCGGAAATGAACCAGCAGACTGAAGTCCTCCGCAAACCTGCTCAAACAACACAAACAGGATTATAAGATGAGTATGTCTTTAAAACATACAAGTACAAGAAATAGCAATGAGTAAGTGAGATTTCTATGTTTTTTTCTTCAGTCTTAAATGCATCTGCTGGCCTTGTCTTAGTAGTATCCAGTTTACATGGTCTGGGTAAAAATGTATCCTGTGATGAAATTATAGGGAATTATGACGAACTGGGAACTAGTTTGGTTGTAGTTTAGTTTTTACTGGTTTTGTCTGGTTCTCCCGTGTTCTCCATAGACTTTATATAGATGGACAATGCTAACACACTAGCTCAACAAAGCCCAATAGGGAAGTGCTCATGGACAAAGTTACCAAACTTAGCACTCACTGTGAGCCGGGTGTATATATATAATAATATGAGCCATGAGGATTGACCAATCAGAAGGCCTCATTCACAGCGGAACTCAAGCTTGCCTTAGCAACCGTCTTAGCAACACAGCTGCCCTTGTTATGGCTCATACTGTAAGTCAACCCGTCAGAACAAATGCTCTTATAAGGACATTTTTATCTCCTAGCGTATGAGCAAATTTTGCTGCTAGCTTATGTTCAAATCAGATTATGGTGACATCACACTTGTTTTTTTTTTGGATTGCATGCACAGAACTACTACAAATCTGTATACAACAAATCTGTATTGTAAATAGTTTATTTATATATTTTGAGCAATTCATTTTGTAAAACCAGGTTGGATGGGTTGCATTTCCCAGCCCTACTGTAAGACTTGTAAGCGTTGACTATCAGTAAGTGCACAGGAGCAGAGTCTCGCTTGGTGTTACCTGTGGTGGAGGACATGCCTGAGGGCCAAGGTCAGCGTGGAGTACTGTCCCAGCCCCAGCAGAGGGCACTCCCCTCCCTCCAGCCGCAGAGATGAGTTTGTGTGATTCGATACCTGAGGCCACAGCATCTGCAGCACGTCCAGCTCATCTGCACACAGAAACAGCCATAGTTATACACAGATACCAAGCAAATGTTTTTAATTTGTCCGTAACATCTTCAGGATATTTATGTATTTGGAGAGAGATTACAGTCCCCCGAAAGCTGTGATTCTCTTCTGGTGGGATGGGCCCCAAAATTGGGTCGTGGGATAATTTTGAGTAGCCATCCTTTCCTGGGAAACATTTAAAACATTTGTCTCTACTACACTGTAAAACAAGTCATCTAGAAAGAAGTGACAAAATACCATTGATTTGAGAATGTAATTTTAAAGAATAAATATTCCAGGGTGTTCCACGCTGGAGGGACTATGTTTCCCTGCTGGCCTGTCAATGCATTACACATTATTGTACGCATTATTTTGAACATTAGAAATAATAAGGAGACTTTTAAAATGTAAAATAAATATCTTGAGTAGAAAATATATGGTGAAGATATTGTAAAGATGGAAATTGTTAAAACCAATTTATAGGCAACACTTTTGTTTTGGAAGACAAAAAACTTTGATGTCATAGTGGTACAATGACATCATACTATTACAGGACTGAGACTGGAGCTTTTAGACAGAAAGGGCGGAGCTACATGTTTGTGCCAGAAGTTATATTAGCGTGGATCTATAATCAACTCCAGGTCTGTTTTTGATGAGATAAACGCAACGAAATAAAAACAATATTTATATATACATAATATCAGTTCTTCTGTGGGTAGTGGTGTTACACTGTATGCAGATGGTGGTTCCAGACTCGCTGGCCTTCAGGTCCAGCTGATGGGAATAAATAAAACAAAACCAAACAGTCCATTAGTGTGTCCTGACTTCCCTTCTCTGCCGGGGCGTGTGCAGATCTGCTTTTCATGAACAAACATCAAAAGACCGTTTCCCATGATTACGGTAAAACACAAACACGCACAGATGTTTGGTTCAATCGAGGGAAGAGCGCTGTTTTTACAGCCGAATAAAACCATGCAATCAATGGACCACTGCGTCGCCGCCTCTGCGGGGATGTCACAATAGCAAGTGTTGGGATTACTGCGAGAAGAGACACAATTTAAGATTATCGGACAAGGCCAAATCCAAGAATCATCTTTCATATTTCAACATACCTTATTCAGTATATGGATTTAATGGACTTTGTGTTTATGAAAAAACTGGGATGAAACTAAAAACTAGTCGTAAGATATATCTGGTGTATTTCTCAGTAGGTGTTCTTTAAAGCTGAGGTACCTAACTTTAAAGCCACACAGAAAAGAACTATGTAATTGTAAACTATGCAACTTGTTCCTCGCTCTCAAAAGAGTTTGGTTCACTTATTTTTGACTGTCTCATCTTTTTCATACAGAAATGTGACTAAATGTCATGTCCTTTTCTGTTCTGTGTTTTATTTTGTAATCACCCTTTTTCTTGTCCCCAGATTTACTTCCTGCCCCACCCTTGATGTGCCTCACCTGTATCCTTTGTATGCTCCTTGTTTTTGAGTCATTTTTTTGTACTAGCCTGACACTAAAAGGAAGAACCCTCACCTACCCGATTTGTTCTCAGCTCAAAGAGTAACATAGTAACACAGGGCTTTCTTACAACTATAAAATGGGATGCAATGTTTTCTAATAAAATGGGGACAGCAGAACGTGGTCTGATATGGTCTGACAAACATTATGAAAACTCAAACCTGGGTAGCCTAGCTTTTGCAGTTGGGCAAATATCCTGTGGCATTATTGCTGTTATTTCAAAGATTTATTTTATGAATGAGTTAATTATATACAATTAAAAGAGAGCCACCCAGCAGCAGTCCTCAGATTGGCTCCTGTCCATTACAACACATGGGAGCGATAGAGAAGGAAACGCTTGTCTCTTTGGACGTCCAATCAGGGACATACGCAAAGTGTATGGTGCAGTAATGAACACAGGCCTCTTCAAATACATGTTTTCCTTCTTCCAAAATATAATTCAAGAGTCTGGCAAGAAAAACTGCTGAGCTTTCACAACACAATTGGACTTTTAGATGTATAAGACATGGTACGCATTCATTTTGTTGACTGCTTCCATCAGTGTGTGTGTGTGTGTGTGTGTGTGTGTGTGTGTGTGTGTGTCTGTGTGTCTGTGTGTGAGCAGCTAAACCAGAGCCGTATGGGAATAAGGTCTTGGCACTAGCATCACTCATTGTTGGCTTTATGGAATATATAAAGAAACAAAAATGTGACAATATTTAGATCTAATCCAATGTAACGGGCTGCAGCCATTGGCTCTGCTTGAATCAGCAGCAGAATTGAATAAAAAACGGTTATGGATCATGTTAGCTACTAAAAGAAAAAACAATCTCATCCAATCTGCCATGCGTTTTCAATCTAGAGCTGTTTCCACGTCCCTCAAGATTTTTTCTTAAACCATGCAATGAATGAAAATGAATAATGCATAATATTAATGTCTTTGTTTGAGGACAGTCCTCGTTCTACAGCCTTCACTAGAACTTTTACAGATAGAAGCAGAACCTGGAGCAGAAACTGATCTGTGTAATATACATTTTACATCAGTATCTTTATACACTGGCAGTCCTGCACCACACAGCCTCAGTCCTGGAGCTACAGCCTCAGTGCTGGAACTACAGCCTCAGTCCTGGATCTACAGCCTCAGTCCTGGATCTACGGCCTTAGTCCTGGAGCTACAGCCTCAGTCCTGGATCTACAGCCTCAGTCCTGGAACTACAGCCTCAGTCCTGGATCTACAGCCTCAGTCCTGGATCTACAGCCTCAGTCCTGGAACTACAGCCTCAGTTCTGGATCTACAGCCTCAGTCCTGAAACTACAGCCTCAGTTCTGGATCTACAGCACTGTCCATCTGTGGAAGCTGATCCCTCTCTCAATATGGGTCTCCCTATGGTACCTGAGAGTCTAAAGGGAGTGATGATATGGGACATTTCTGAACATTTATCAATATGTTTGAATATTGGTCAACATGCTCTCTATATGGACCAATGGCTCCTTTGTGTTTATCGTGTAATTTGGGTTGGGGGGGGGGGGGGGGGGGAGAACACACGACAGCAGACTTTATGGGTCATGTGGGGATTGAGCCCACGACCAGTAGGTTCAGAGACCAATGCTCTACCAACTAAGCCACTGTCGCCCCTGCTACTGTCGCCCCTGCCACTGCCACTGAGAGACCAGACAAAGATACCAGAGAGAGACTACAGAGACCAAAAGGCGCTGAAGTAATAATTCAATAACAGAAATCAAAACAGGATTGGACAAACGTAGAAAAAGTCCAATTCTCCAAATGTATGTGAAAGAGAAGGACATCAGACGTCTGCATTAACCTTGTGCTCATTGATGAAAGTCTAACACGTGTTCCTGCTTCTTGTTGTAATCAGATGTCAGTGGGAGAGCTGCCATGTCGGCGCGATCATGTGCAAGTCATTTTTTATCTTTTTGTTTTTTTTCTTTCTAATTTGTGTTTATAAGGCGCATATGGTTCGGATGCGTCCGGTCTCCTCCTCCGGATCTGCATGACTGAGAGGAGTCTGTGGACGTCTGGCTCCTACAGGGGATGCTCTGGCTGGGAGAGAGCCACTGGCGGAGACTTTGGATGTAATATGATGGAAAATAACAATATACCGGTACAGTGTTTCCTTGTAAAAACACGCATAATCAAGGCCGGGCAAGTTTGTTTGTATAGCACAGTTCAAACACAAGGCAACTCAAGAAAATGTACATTAAAATCATAAATAATCACAATGCATTAAAAAAGAGAAAATCCTTCAGTTGTTTGCACAGCACAACAAAACTCTTTTTAACCTGGATTTGAACATGGTCAGAGTAGAAGCCTGTCTCACATTTTCAGGAAGACATGAATTTGAAATCCTTGCCTCCACATGTAAGAGAGGATCATTGTAAATACTGGCCACAATTACAGAACCTCACAACTAGGCCTGAAGCAATTTAATGATTTATCACTTTTATAATTTTGTATTATGTAAATGTAACTCAGAATTATTTATGAACAATTTTGTCATTCTACATTAGTTTCTTTAGTTTCTTAGTTTAGTTTCGCAGCTAATCAAGTTTATTAAGTGATTATTAAGTTATTTCTCTGGTATCTTTCAGAACCTGTCGATACGATACGGGGTCCTTTCAAAACAAGATTTCTGAACAATACGGTTTTGGCCCCTTATCCAAATACAACACTATTGATGCATTTATTTATCTATTTTCATTTCAACTTTAAAAAATCAGGAAAAATGTAAAAGTATACTTTATAATTTCATGTAATATTTTTATGTATTTTACTATGCATTTTATATATGTTTTTTTTTTCTAGGGTTACAAAAAGCACTTTGCATCTTGCAGAGCCCAGTCTTCTCTATCATCTCAGACCTCAATCCAAACCATTCCCAAGACTGGTCCCAACATGTGCGATCCATAACACAACTCATTCTTAACAAGATATAAAGTTCCTCGCGCCACACAACAATCGCTAAACTGAGTTGTGGCTCTGAGAAGAATTCTAATTATAAACATGAAGTACATTTGATTTCACAGCTTTCCTTCTTAGCCTTAACCACTTCCAGAGAACACACTGTTTCCCTCTCTCCCCCTCTCTCTCTCTCTCCCTCTCTCTCTCTCCCCCTCTCTCTCTCTCTCCCTCTTTCTCTCTCCCCCTCTCTCTGCCGCGGTCTGATTTCCATGTTCGCGCTGAGGCCGCACTGCCCGCCTTCATCATCTTCACTTTTTGCGGCTTTTTAACTGAGCGCAGACGTTTTGTTCTCCGCGTCTCAGCCTGGTTTTGGATTGCCCCATGTGTTGTTTGGCAGGACCGTTTCTCATAGCTGTCGGAGTGATTCCATCAAAGAATGTATGACAGCATTGGAGGACAGCTTGCGTTTCTTGAGGCTGAGTTTGGTGGTGATTTATGGGCCGGTGCTGAGAGAAAAAACTCCAAAACTCTCAGAGAGACAGGGATAGGGATCTGCAGATTCACCTGAGAGAGGTCTGTGATTAATGCA